AACGCAACGTAGCTCAGAATGTTAGTGACGGGGGTTGGGTGTCACTGGTGCGGTGGCGGTGGAGGGGAATGGAGTTATGGAATCGAGGGGAGATGTCTGAGTCTGGGGGGTCTGTTGGTTGTACTCACTTGCAGTTTTAGATCAGTCGTCTGACCTAGAGTTTTAGAGCAGATGTACAATGAGATTAAATATAGTATTTTTTTTTTCATAGTACTATTGTCAGTACTGTTGTAGATTGAGCCTATGTTACGATTGTTGTCATGAATATTATCATTATAAATACTATCATTGATACTACCACCACTAATACTAATATATATATATATATATATATATATATATATATATATATATATATATATTTGACCTGGTCAAAGTCACTATTATACCCCCCTACAACTATTCTGATACTACCGAATTGCGTCAAAGAAAGGATCTTGTGTGCCTACATATACCACTTTGTCTGAGTGTGTGGGGCTGTTTTGTATTTTTCTGTTCTTTGTGGGTTTTTTTTTCTGTTTTTTTTTTTTTTTCCTCTTTCTGTATTGTAGATGTGTCTCACTGATTTCTTACCTGGTATGTGTTACTGTTTGCTAATTTGCCATAAAAAAGAAAAAAAAAGATTTTTTTTTGTAGAATTGCCTTTACAGGGACTTTAATGATGGGGAAAATGGTCGGCGCATGGTCTTAAAGGGTAGTCTCTATTCTTTTAATAAGCTATGGGTGTGTTTTGGGCGAAACGTGCAAAAACAAAAACAGGTTTTAGTTGGTCAATAAGGCAGTTTATTTTTTTGCCTCAAAATTGCAAAGCGCCAACTGCCAGAGTACACCTTTTCAGACCAGCACGCCCATGTGCGCACAAATGGATGCATTTGCTATTAAAAAAACACGTGAAAACACGCTGCATTGTGCCATCTTTAGTGACCCGGATCTATATCTAACATGGATGGATCTCTACCTGTCTCGAAAACATCCCCTGATATTAGAGTAACAATTACAGAAGAATGAAATAAAGCATATTTTATTACCTTTAGGAGCTTGGAAGGGTTCAGTTTGAGTAGATGGTGTGCATGAAACTTAATTTTAGAATCAGAGACATTTTTCAGCATAATAAGTGGTTTGGATCAAATGCCAGAGCTACTGGCCTACTTCTATGATGAACCATCTCAGGAAAACCAGCATGTGCCTTTGAGCCTTCATGTTCCTGTAGCTTTTCACTTGGCACTAGTGACTTTATCTGTGTTGAAAATTCAAAGTGATGAAGCAAGAAAAGATGTTTCACATTTCAGCCGTTCCATTATGTGCCACCATTATTCCTTAAAACACGTTAAAAAAAAATCAGCCCTTTTAAGACGTGTGATAAAATCAATATCAGGCCATGTGATGTCACCCCCTGCGCCAAGACCCTAATGGCCTTCATTTCGACATATTGCACTACTACAGAGCAAAATGATGTTCATTCGTCTCTGTGTGCATTACATTGTAGTGCTCACAGCCATATATACATAAATCTCAAGCTACAAATACATCCAGTGGAGGTCTATCCATCCAGGAAGCCATCATGTCCAAAACGATTGTAGGCGTTGATGAACGGGCCCCTCGGAGGAGAATCACTCTTCTGTTTTTTTTTTGTCCTCCTGTCTGTTGCAGTTCCACCAGTCTGTGCCATCTATCAACATCATTGAGGTGTGATGGGAGTTTCGATGATGTCAGTCGCACCATCCGCCGTATCAGGATGACGGTTTATCGGCCCTTCCATCATAACACAGTCAAGAATCCTCATGGAGCAGCACATCAGCTACACCTCAATATCGGCCCACCCATACGCACGTATATTAAAGCAATCCACCGGGACTGTAAATATCATATTGCGTATATGACTGGATGCCTGTGTTGTGTGATGGATGGAGAATACCCAAAACTTTCCTGCAATATATCCGATTAAATCGGGGATTTTTTCCTCTTGTATAGAAAGGAAGGAAAGTGTATTTTTGATATGGTACTGTTGCAGTATGACAGGGTTTCTACTCTTTATTAGCTTGTGTTTGGTTTTTGCATGTATTTCTTTTGAGTCAGATAGGATGTGTACAGGATGTGTGCAGGTCATTAAATTAAGCTTGTGCTCTTGTTTTTATTACCCAGTAAAACTAGTGGAATTGTGTCTGAGCTGCTTATTATTGGGAACAGACTGACGCCAAATCTCTCCGCTTGTCATCTCTTCATCCTCCTAACTAGTTGTTTTTGTATTCTAAATATGCATATTTGCCCATTTTTCTGCCCACTACATGCTAATCTTAAAACCCTGCCAGACTGAACAATGTACAGTACATAATTGCTAATCTCACTGTGTTGTATACAAAACAAAACAATATCCTGACTGAATTAAAAAAAACAATAAAAAACAATATCCTAACTGAATTATTGTTTGTTATTAAGAGTATAAAGACACCCTAAACCTCATGATGAAAAGTGCATGCATATTTTATGATTTTTATGCTCTTAATCTCATGTTTATTCTCCTAATTAGATGATTGTATTATCATCTTTTTCTCCATATCAGTTTTAATAAAGATAATGAATGAATTGATGAAAGAAATACTATTCAGAAACCTATATATTGTTTGTTTCAACAAAAACATGCTAATGGAGTGGGATCTCATTTATTGGTGCAGTCAATCCCCAAGCAAAGTACATTTCAGAGTAATTAATATTAATAAAACTTTAGGGAATCAATCAAATGAACAATATTTTCAAAATAGAAACCCAATGTGTTGAACTATAGTATATAAAAATATTATTTGGTCTAATATTTGGCAATTTTTCCATTTACTAAAATCACAAGATATGACACTTTGGTGTTTTTGAGCAAACATTTTATTCTACATAATTAAATATCAACCAATTGTTCCTGTACATATGCAAATTACCTCTTGAGCTCCATTCTGGTTTCATGATTACATAATAAAATTAGTATGTGTACAAAGCAAAACATAGATTGCATAGATTTTCTTAAAGCACCAACTTTGATTTCTTACTTTACAAAATATTAATCAAATAAAACCCATTATAAAGACAATCACACATTATAGAGACAATCTACACAATATTTTAGGAACCATTTCAGATATTATATACATATTTTTGTTTTACTATGGTTGTTCCAATCATTAAATACTTTGAAAGTGTCTCAAATCCTTCCACAGAAAACAGTGATTATTTGAAATTAATTAGCAGTCAAATCAAATCAAACATTAATTATTAAACCACTGATAGTTTCAATATGATTAACCAAAATAACTAGAACACCACTAACTGAACTAAGAACTTTAGCTACAGTATATACTGATATTACAGTATATCTATCAAATTAAATGAAACTTATCCCACTTTTAGGAGGATAGAAAATGTAACAAACAAAAATGTTGTATTGTCGAGAAGAAATACTGCATGTTCAAAAATGCACAAAGGAGAAAAAAGCTGGCAGAGCAACTGAGGCTCTAAGACGGAATGTTAAATGATGAAGAAGAGATTTCTGTGTTTAATATCACTTAAAAAGGGCAGAATGGCAGTATATTACATGTAACGCTAGATGCTAGAGACTGATGGAACTCATGGGGAAAAGATTTCTGAGAGCCAAAGTGTAATATTCTTTACTTCAGCACTTACAAAGTTCAAACTTAAATCTGAATTTAAGTTTCAAATAGAAACTTACCAGTTTCTATTTGACAGAATATTGCATTTATTTTTGCTAAATGAATGTGTGATGATTGTCTGCCCAAAGTTAAAGCAAATCAGTGATGATTTTGACATAATTTGTGTGACGTGACATTGTCTAGCTGAATTATAAAAAATAAAAAAAAATAAAAAAAGAGGGTTCATAAAAAAAAAAAAACAGTCCAGTCCTCAAATTAAGAAGTTGCATATATTTAAAACAAAGTTAAAAATAATTTTAACTGATGACAAGCTTATGTGAATGTATAATAATAATAATAATAATAATAATAATAAGTGTAACACTTGGAAGCCCATAGTGAGAGGCTTTTATACTGTGATAGTTTGGATCCTAAAAAAGAAAGAAATCTGATGTGTTTTGAGGCCTCATTAAAATATTTAAAAATTACTTGATCCACCCCAGACAGCAACATAGTGTTGGCCCAGATCCGGCCCACATCTGGTGCACACGGCCCAGATGTGGGTCGGATCTGTGCCGACACTGTTGCTTTCTGGGACAGAAAATAATTTCTTAATGATTGTTTAAGCAAACGTCCCCTAACCCACATGTTAGTCCTGAACAGCTCTACAGTACATACTTATTTGTAAACGTTTAGAGTGTGTAACTGCGCGTCTAAAGTTCGCTAACGCATGCGGATCTAGTACTGTACATCCTGTAACACTTTACTGAGAGTACAAAGCACTCGACTGAAATGAACCATGCAATCTGACTTTCCGATGAATGCTGTGGGAGTCTTGAAGAATGCTGGGCTGAAGGAAAAACATCAGTTTTGTGGAATGTACATTTGGTCACCCTTTCAAGTACAGTGTTTGTAGCTATTGTATATTTAAATAACAACCAAAGTATCTACAATATAGCACCAATTCATTGAAAAGATTTACATTATACAGGTAGCAAATCTACTTACACAAATGCTTGAGTACAATATACTGTAACAACATGCGGTTTCATACATGTTGTATTGTCAAGTTCTTACCCTGAACTTACAGTGTTATAATGCAAGTACATTGGCATTCAAAAGTTATATAGCTGAATCATGCACGTCTGTGATGCTTTTTTTGTGGTATTGTTTGCTGTTTTAAGTGGCAGTGGTGTGAGTGAGTCCATCGCTGAGGCATAAGTTTCACTTTCTGATAGGCTGGTGAGAGTGATTTGTGTGTGTGTGTGTGTGTGTGTTCAGTCTGAGTCCTCACTGCTGAAGGACAGGAGATGATCTTCTACCGGACTCACAGCTGCATCCTCAGACACGGTTCTGCTGCGGGATGTTGCCAATCTGATTGAGGGAACAGGAAGGGTAATCTTTAATATTTCTTATAATTTTTCCTTCTTGTTTTAATCTTTATTTTTTAACTCCTAAAACTTCATTTAAATGATTAAATTGGATTTTAAAACTAAATTCAAAAATACACTGAAAGATGTGAAAGATGCGCATGCAACAATGCTTGTAAAGGGTTCCCACGGTCATCGTAAACCTGGAAACGTCAGGGAATTTAACTTTATTTAGTTATGCATGCTGTAAAACTATTAATCAGTACACTACTGTTCAAAAGTTTGGTGTCGGTAAGATTTTTTTTGAATGTTTTTAAAGGAATCTCACTAGGCTCATCACCAAGGTTGCATTTATTTGATAAAAAAATACAGTAACAACAGCAATATTGTGAAATATTTTCTATTAAAATATTTAAAATGTCATAAGTATTCCTGTGCAAAGCTAAATTTTCAGCATCATTACTCCAGTCTTCAGTGTCATGTGATCCTTCAGAAATCATTCTAATATGATGATATGCTGCTCGAGAAACAATGTTGAAAACAGTTAATATTTTGTGGAAATGCTGATACATTTTTCTCAGGATTCTTTAATGAATAAAAAGTTCAAAACAACAGCATTTATTTGAAATAGAAACATTATAAATGATCAATTTAATGCATCCTTGCTGAATAAAAGTAATTCTTTTATTAAAAACTTTTGAACGGTAGTGTAGATTATAATCTTCTGCAAGTGAGAAATTGTGAGTGAAACGAGTTCTTTTCACCGAATCGTTCAGACCTGATTAATTAGTGAATGAGTCTGAATCAAAACAATAATAAATGCAAAAACATTCATCACAAAAGGTCGTGGGAATTCACTGGGAACCCTGTTGTAAGTTGTTGTGTTTAAGTGAAACAGAAATCTTGTCAGGCAGTGATACAGGAAACTAAGTCTGAAGTGTATGATATTAGTTTCTCATTGAGGTTTAGTGATGGTTGATGAAAACCGAGGGATGTCATTCCGCGGTACGGTTTCTCTCACCTCACTTACCTGCGTCCGTCTCCTCCACCTCCATATTGCTGCATGGCAGGTGAGAGAGAGACACACCTACAATCGTGATACATGCTGACAGTAAGCTATGATTAAACCATCACCTCCTCCCAAGCATGCCACTGTTCAAACTTTGTGGGAGTCTAGATCTATTATTTACATTTTTATAGTGCTTTTTATATGCTCAGTGAAAGAAAAGAGCTGATTAGGATTCACCTCATCTGAATCACTTAAGAATCCTGATACTTTTTGGCCCCTTACATTACTTATAATAATGGAGTTTACTGGCAAGATGAGTGCAGTTTCTTTCCTGCTGTATGCCAGCAATGAAGTCATACTGTAGTAACGCATTGGCATCACAAGGTGTTATAACTTTATAGTGGCGGAAAATGTGGTAAGCAATCATTTAAAGACTTGTAACATGTATCAGCAGGTTAAAAATAAATGGATTCAACAAGTTAAACAATATTATTAGAAAGCACATCCCTATGCACAAGAATGCTTGTAACTCACTTAGCAATGAAATAATCGGATGTTTGTGATTTTATATAAGGATACTGATCCTTATTGTCATAAGGATATTGATCTATACTTTTTTTTTAGATCAATATCCTTATGATATGTATGCAACCTGCTGGGCATTATATAAAATATCATATATACGTTTAGTACAATATATACAATATTTAATGTGAACATCTGCTTGCTCCATCCAGATGAATACACTTTAAGTTAATTAATTACTAATTACCTCTTCAACAGTGTAATTGGATTACTGTACTAATTACCCTCTTTAAAAAGTATTTAATTACTTTTAATTACCAATTACTTTCAAAATCCCATATCAATCTCAACCAGCTGAATAATACAAGGATAGACGTGAATCTGTTTTAATTCTTTCAAATAAATACTATAAAATTGCATGAATTATCCTTAAACTGACCAAGGTAAACATATACTTTTTAACATCAGACAATACATTTTGATGTTAGACCCACTATTGTTTTATGTCTGATCTTATGACATTTCACACTTTTTTTCATACATATTTTACAATAATTCAAGAGTGCAGTCGTAGACACCTCATAAAATGCATACGAATCGCTGTGAGATTGGATTGATCTATACACAGTACCTCAATTACATCAGAAGTAACTGTAATTAAATTACAGATAAATGAAGAGGAATCCCTTACTTTACATTTTCAATGGAAATGTAATTAAATTACAGTTACTAATTACTTAGTAATTAGTTACACCCAACACTGTTCTAGATGTATATTACTGTCACAGATTCTCTGTTTCTATTCAAGGACTTTTATTTCCTTATTTTTATTTACTTTTTATATACTGAAAGTATTTTAAGTTCCCTGTGTTTCCTCTGTTATCTTTGGGCCATTTAACGCGACACCGTTTTCAATTAAAAACGGAAACGTGTTTATGCATTTTGGCTGTTCATTTACATGACAGTGGCGTTTTAGGGGCCTGGAAACTCAAACTTTTGAAATTTGGTTTCAAAGTGCTAGTTTTTGAAAACGCTTCCATGTCTCTGTGAAAACTACAAGAACCTGAATTTATGAACACGTGATGTACATGTTAGGCTGGTGGTGTTTCATTACAAAGTGACATCGCCAACAACTGGCCTGGCAGTATAACAGTCTTAGTAGTTTTTGTGGATTTTGTGAACAGGAATCATTTTGATAACATTGTTGTCAGTATGTGAAAAAGCAAAGGAAAAACCTTTGAGTTTTTACGTATTTGTTCATTTAGCTGACGCTTTTATCCAAAGCGACTTACAATTTCTATATATGTCAGAGGTCGCACGCCTCTGGAGCAACTAGGAGTTAAGTGTCTTGCTCAGGGACACATTGGTGTCTCACAGTGGATTCGAACCCGGGTCTCTCACACCAAAGACGTGTCTTATCCACTGCGCCATCACCACCCAAGAATGAATTGTTTTCATTGTTTTTGAACTGCTTTGGTATTTTAAATGACGATTATCACTCGTTTTACTGCGTCCCCTGTAGGTATGGGAATCGGTTGTTGTGAGTGCAATTACTAACGTTGCTAGCGTTGCTAACAGAAGATTAACATGAAAAACATGAAATGAAGTGAACATTTTCAAGTTCAAATGGCTGCGTTTTGATAAGATGTAGTCATAATATTTTTTTTTTTTCATGTAAGTGCTAAATCACGTTTTCAGCACTCGGCCAGTGCTACCATTACAACAGCTTTCCGGGTGGCGTCCATTTTCTTTTCCGACTCGGACGCGCAAAACATAATAGAGCGCTTGAAGTGTGGATGTGACGACGTCATGTCCGAGGCTCGTTAGTCGGTTCGTTGGCTATAATAGAACACACCATCTGGTGTATGCAAAGTGGGAGGAGTTGGATCTGGATCCGACTCCTCCCCCTGGATTTCATGTTCTGCAGTGAGAACCATCTCTCCATTTCAGTTGTGTTTTATCTACTCTGGCTGTGTTAATGTGTGGTATCTGTTATTCTGAGTATTTTGATTATTTTATTAACGTTCTGCTGTTATAACTAGATCCACACCTTCACAGAAAATATATATTTTTTTGTTTTTGTGTTCCCCAAACCCCACCTGCTGTACCACTGACTATCTGCTAATCTAGATAATAAGAACAAATTCTTCATTTTTGGTATTTCTGTTTTTAAATGTACCAACTTTAACTGTGCACAGAAATGCTTGAATTGAAGTAGTTATGAACTTTAAATTCCATCTGCTGCTAAACGTTAATAACTCCAAACTATCATTACATTCATTTCCAGGGCTCTGTTTGAACTGATACTAATAACCCTGTATGGAGAGACACTCAGAATAAAATGATTCACAATGTCTGTTAATCGGAACCAGAGATGCGATGGTTAATGTAGTTCAGTGCTCCTACTGTGTGCCGAATCTCACACCATCTGTACTTTATGAGACATAATATCACACCTGAGGAAGCGCAAACCCATTAGCTGATTATATGAGGCAGAATATTTTACAAATTATTCCATATTAGCATATGGCCTTGAAGCTATCACACATGGACAAATGCTACAAAACTCGCATATTTATTTCAAGGGGGCAGCAAATCAACAAAGATAAACAAATAAATTTTCACTGACTCTGAGTGCATCTCAGGGGAAATTATCGCCTTTTTAAAATTCTGTTTTCAGACATTTGCTAAGCTGGACTGCAGTCAAAACGCTGCAATATACAGTACACCATTCAAATGTTTGGGGTCAATAAGATTTTTCAATAAACTTTCATTCAGCAATGATTAATTAAACTGGTCAAAATGAACCGTAAAGATTTTTATATTATTACAAAAGATTATTATTATTATTTTCAACTAAATACTGCTCTTTTTAACTTTCTAAGAAACACAGATTCAAAAAATATGAAGCAACACAACTTTTCTCAACATTAAAAATAATGAGAAATGTTTCTTGAGCATCAAATCAGCATATTATAATTATTTCTGATTTCTTATAATTATGTGACTGAAGACTAGAGTAATGACGCTGAAAATTCAGCTCTGCCATCACAAAGATGACTAAAAAAAAGTTTTAAATTGTAACAATATTTTACAATATTACTGTTTTTATTGTATTTCTGGTCAAATAAACATCTTTCAAAAACATTAAAGTAATCTCACAGACACCAAACATTTAAACGGTAGTGTTTTTTAAAACCAAAGTCAGTTATTTTCTTTTTGTGAATATGTATAATGTATAATATACAGTATATATAATGAACAATCTCTGATTTCACAGACAGTTTTCTGTGCGGCTTATGTGTGATTAAAAGTGAGTAGAGGGGAAGAAACTTACCTTGAAAACGCATCATCGAGGCTATCTTCCGCATCCTGAGAATGAGAGAACATGCAAGCAAACACATTACAGATCACATAGATCATAACTGCAGAACCAGAGAGTAACTTGAAAAACATCAGCACCAGCAAGCTTTAAAGACTTAATCTAGGCTACTGTCTCCTCTGTGATAGTCATCATCTGAGACCAATAGACTGAATGTTCTAATTGGGTTTCAGAAGCGCCTGAACAGCGAATGGAATACAATCACAACTGAAAAAAAAGTAATCAACAAAAAGCGCGGTTGAACATGATGTGCAGACAGAGAGCTTGATGGATCCGGTATACGGGTAGCTCCCCGCCTAGTGATCATTTAATCAATAAATACGGCATTAAAGCAAAGAATGCCACTTAGTGGTGACCATGTGCTTTATCAACAGGCCAGGCCATGCTGACTGACGATATAATGGCAATTATCCAGTGGCAATATAGTAATTCCCTATTTTGGCATGGTGTCAAAACAACTGACCTTCATTTTGGAGCGGATACTCTGCATAATAGTGGCACTCTTTCAGAAAATTAATTAAAGTAAGGATTCAGATCACCAGACAGGACAAAAGACAAATTAGATTTAATGTTATCAGAAAGGATTGCCTGGCATTTCAGTCATATTTAATAACATAATATGGAAACAATTCAAAATAGACTCCCGGAAAAGCACTACTATTCTCTGACCCTCAAAACTTTTAAACGGTAGAAAAAAAAGGCAAATGACATCATACCCAAGAGTCATGTTTGATTGGCCGTCTCCTGGTGTTGCTGCGTGGAGATGGTGAAAGGAAGGAAAGGAAAAAGGGCTTCCTCAGTTTGTGCTCCATAAGAGCCCGGGTCTTCTCTTCCTCTGACACAAGTAAAGAACGAAAATAAAGGGTATTCCCCATGAATTTAACCAAATTAAGACAAAGATCAAGCAAACTAGCGTGTTTAAACCAATAAATGTACCTGAAACACGGTTTGGTTCAGATTCAGGCTGAGATTCAGGGTCTGAACTGGAGTAGCATGTGCGAACTTTCTTGCTTTTGTCTGCAGTGGAAAAATAAAGACAGGAATATTTGTGTTCTGTTACCATGCCAGCGTGTGCCATGTGGGACATTTCACTGAATGGGTGACATTTGCTTGTTGTAACTCTTCAAAAATAAACTTTATTTTTGATCTTTTTCAATATTAAATCTAATACTACACATATTTAACTATTCAAAATGTGTATTGGTCAATCTCAGTCAACTTTATTTATTTTTTGACAAGGTTTAACCAGAATATGGACGCATGTTTTCTCAACCCTGTTACCGAAAATCATGTGTCATTTAAAAAGCAAGTTTAGAAGCATGTCAATTAATTCCTTTGTTTTCCCCACAAGAAAGTGTTTATTTTAAAAGAAATTCTGGGTTATATGTTCAAAAAATTGATAGTTGTGACAATAAAATCACTATTAGAGGCAAGGTGTACTGTATTTTGATTTAAAAAAAAAACACAAAGGCATTTCTTAATTTTAAAGGCGAACGAAGCCTCAAGCTTATAATATTTTTAGAATAATTTCATTAAATAATTGTATAAATTATGGGCCAAACAAAACTGATAAAAATAGTGGTTTAATTTTATTTATTTTTTTTTAGAAAAAGAAAAAAATAGTAACATGACTGAAAGTAACAGGATTGAGTTTTTAAGCAAAAGGCTATTAAATATATGGCATATGGCCACATAGCATTGATGCTAATAGCGTTTAATAGTCTAACAGGACTGAATGAAAACCTGGGGACATGACTAAAATGTGTATTTTATCTAAAATATTATATCAATTTTTTCTTTTTTCATTTTAAAGCAGTTTGGATATAAAGTCACTCAACAATGCAAGAAAAATCAGATTTCTGAAGGATTTTAATCATAATATTTCATGGTAAAGTTTAGAGATAGAGAGTTGCAGAAAATGCTCTTTTTTTAGTGTTCTGTGTCATTTTTTATTAACGTTTTTTAATTATACGTTTTAAATTTTTAGTTAGCTTAATGTGCATGACACTTTGCTTAATAATAAAATGTATTTTAGAGTTAATTTTCATGCAATTTTATACATATAATGTCCTGGGAACAGAATGTCACCCTTTCCGTGGAATGGCTCATGTATAGCCTAAACAAATGTGGAACAAAACCCTCACCTTCCTGTGCGATTTCCCACATATCTAGAGCTACTTTAAAAGCTTGCGCAACTGTCAGAGTCACAGCCTGAGCCTGTGGAAAACACATGAACGCACAAAATCAGAGGGTTCCTGAAGAATGATGCTCTTGTCCACTAGATGGCGTTAGATATCTGCTATAGATATGGGTCAAGAGAAAAAGCTGTGCTTGCACAACAACCAATTACAATCACATAAAAACTTGTAGTGAAAAAAAAAGGGAAAATTAATAATAAGGAAACATATCGCGGTGAAGAAGGATTGCAATACTATAAAAATAGAAAAGTTTTAACAAACAATGTGCATATGCATATGAAATAGGCCAATAAATATTAGTGTGCTCCCAAATATGTTCATGATAACACACTTACTATTTTCTTTTTTTGGCAGAGGAAGGCATGGCACTCCAGAGTTTCATTGAACTGGCTTTGGGAGATGTAGGCAAAGACCTTATCCTGAATTTTGTCTGTTGTGCAGTAAGATATTCTGCAGAGGTGAAAAATAAAAGCCTTTCAGTGTGGACTGTATTTGTTCATAAATACAAAATTAAATAACATTTCCAGGAATTAATAATCTACTGGCAGAGACTTGGTTATGACTCTTTTTTTTTAAATCTGTCAATAACGTCAGACAATGAAACAAGCTGTTTGAAGTTTCAGAGACAATGACAATCTTCTTTCATTTATTGAGTCATTTCTAACTTTAAACTGCAGTAATAATTGCATGGCCAATTAAAGTATGGCAAACCAACCGCGATGATTCCTTTTGAGAACACATTAGTATTTTTAAAAAGTAACATGGGTTTGTACTCTCTCAGATCCCTAAGAAAACTCATGAAAACCTATTCAAAGCCAAAACAGAACTGAGATGGTAAAGTCTATGGTTGAACTGTACTAAGACATATTTCTGCAATTAAAGGAATAGTGCACACAAAAAAAAATGTAATTGTCATTATCGTTCCAAATGAATTATTTTCTGTGGAACACATAAGAACATATTTTGAAGAATATTTACACTGCTCTCTTCCATATAAAATTAAGTGTTCCTGTAGCCTAGACAGTAGAGCATGGATTCAGTTCCCAGGGAATGCAAAAACTGAAGAAGAAAAAAATGCTTTTCCATTAAAGCATCTGCCAAATGCAGAAATGTAAATGAAAGTGGACAACGCATTCTCACCCACAAGGCGTCACCTTTGACCATGCTTCAATATTTGACGTTTTAGGCGCCCTTTAGCGTCACTTACATGACGCGATCCTACGGCGTCATCTAACTGACGCTAAAGGAAAGCGTCAGTTAAGGCGCTTTTCCACTGCATAGTACGGTACGGTTCGGTTCGGTACGTCTCACTTGTGGTGCTTTTCCACTGCATGGTACGGTACAGTACGGTTCGCTTCAGGTCGCTTTAAATGGTACCTGGTCTGTTGAGGTTCCAAGCGTACCGTACCGGTACTAAAATGTGACGTGAAACACTGCAGATCACTGATTGGTCAGACAGGATCGTCACTACCAGCGTCACTACTAGCGTCATTGGATTTGCGACATGAGACACTTTTTTAGCAGTATTTTTGTTTTGCTGCCATCAGCCTCATTTTAAACACATTTTTCCGTCTAGCAGTTAAAAACAACCACATACCGAGAATCAGGAACACAATCCCCTCGATAGTCTCCATTGTTCCTGTGTTGTGGGTTTGAAAATGTGGCGCTTTTAAGATGATGTCATGGCAGTAGAGGCGCGCGCAAATAACGATCAGTCCCACACACTTTGAAGGGGTACTACTGCAGTGGAAACGAAAAGCGATCCGAACTGTTCCGCTCCGAGTCGAAGCGTACTGCGCCAAACCGTGGGGTAGGGTACACGCGATCCTAGGGCGTCATCTAACTGACGCTAAAGGGCGCCTAAAGCGTCAGATATTGAAGCATGTCCAAATCAGTTAAGTGACGCCTTGGGGGTGAGAATGGGCTGAAGTGGATGGGCACTATAGCTTCCAAGCTTCACAAAGCACTTAAAAACATTTTTAAAAAGTTCGCTTGTGCACTATTTTCTAAATCTTCTGAAGCCATTTGTCAATCCGATGATGTTCTTCACCATTGCAAATTTAGCTTGATAACCATGGTCACCATTCACATTAAGAATGGAAAAGACCAGCTTCAACATTTTGTACTTTATGTTCCACAGAAAGAAGACATTTTCATTTTCTTTCTTTTTTGTCATTTTAGGGAAAGGACCTGAATTTAGAGCACCAAACCAAAAGAGCTTGTGTGAAATAATGAGATGCATTAGGGAAGACAGAGCTCTGATCTCACTTCATCTACAACTGTTAGTGCACTACTTCTGATGCACGACCTAAATAGAAATGCCCAAGACTCTCTATTCCCTTTCGCCCTCCCCTTTCTCTCTCTGAACATGGGGGGGTGTGGTGAATTATCATTTATTCCAGTCTGTGGTGCATTGCACAACTTCATTATTGAAGAGCGTGAAGCTGAGAGGAAAGGAAATGGTAAATGGCCCGAATTTAGCTTGTTTGTAGCTCCTTTTTGAACAGAATTAAAGGAGGAGACGGGTTGTGTTATCACAAACAACCTCAGATATGCTGAAATGAACCTTTCAATCTTTACTTTTTTTGAAAGTACTGTAGCTCAATACATGAAATTGAATGCATTACAAAACAAACATATAAAATATAAAAGTAAGTTTCAGTCCTCTAATTTGTTTGGCTGAGTGGCATTATAGATGATATAGTATGTATACAGTTCAACAACAGTGTTTGTATCACTGCTTCTCTGTGAGATCTACAGGTAGGGATTTTTCATTTACTCTTTCTGCATTGTTATGCAAGTACTGTAGGTGGTGACAAGTGACGTCTTTATTAGTGAGTCACTGAATCATTCACTCAACTGATTAAATCAAAATCACTGAATCATTTTGAAATGTAACACCACTCCTGTGTGTCGCTGGAAGATGTGCAATTTAGAAACATATGATTTTGCTGTTGAACTATTTTCTTTGTATTTTCATCATCTTTTTTTTTTTTTTGGCGGAGCTAATAACAAAGTAAATGTCTAAAATGAAAGGTACTCAATACTAACTTTTTGTTTACTGAGCAATTTTATTTATTTTTATTGTCAATGTGTTCTCAGACCGCAACACAAAGAAACTGAATCCAGGCCAAGTGGAAAGCAGAGATAAAGTATGTTTGGCCTTATCATAAATGCATTCTGCTTTAGGCAATGAAGAGACACAGGCTTGTTAAATTTCAACAAATACATAGTCCCAGTCAGGCCACGTACATTGTAACTAGAAAAAAAAAAATACAAATAAAATAGGATTCTCCACATAAGCTACTCAAGGGTAACAAACATGACCTTGTGGCCCCGACTAGCATAAGAGCTTATTATAGCCTTGGCATTGTTTGCATTGGCAGTGGCACAGATTGCTCCCTCAGTGATGCCCTACTGGCTCCCTTCTCTTGCTGAACACATTACCGTGGAATATGACATTCCCAGAATGGGGGGAGGGGGGCAAAGTGGGGTTTAATCTTTTCATGAACCCCCATACAGTTAATGCGGGAGCATAGTGAATCTCATTACACAAATCACTGTGCAAGATTTGTGGCTTAGGAAAATAAAGTCTTGCACACAAGTATAGATGTTTTCTTTTCAAGAGACAAGCTGTCAGTATAGTGGCAGTAGTGAAAGTGATATTAATTTGCATAAAAAGGCACATCCTAAATTGCAGTGAGCATTGACGGAAATTAAACAAACCCAGAATGCCCTTCAAACCTTTACAATTTCTGATGTAATAAAGCTGACAGCTCCTACTGAGCCTAGACAAACAACATCATCTCCTATTTTTTACTAAAAATAGAATGGCTGTGTTTTTTTTTCATCATTATTTGTATATTCAGGGGAGGGGGGATCAAAGGAGTGAATAAAGATGAGGATTCATATCATCAGCACTATGTTTCCTTCTTTTGAAACCCCCACCACTTCATGAAAAGGCATAGAATACCCATTCCCTGCTTCACCCTCCTAATGGTTGTCCAAGACCCCCTTAGGGTCTGGGTTGAAATAGCATTTATTATAGCATCCTGGCTGAACTGTGATTTTTAGGTCCCCTGGTACTTGTGTTTATTCTCCAGCCTCCTTTGAAAGTCAAACTGAGGCTGTATGATCAAAGTCTACACTGATTACATTCTGCTGTATGAGACCCATCGCTCCAGGGTGTATTCTCTATTCTGAGGTGTGCTTTACCTGGATCAGGCTAATAATACAGACATATGAAATTAAGATGAAACTCTGTGCGATGGATGGAGAGCAGTTTGTCCTCTACATGAGCTCACAGAATTCCTTGTCTTACACAGGAATCCATATGCCATCACACTAAATAGCCAGAAGCCCACAGAGCATCTCCGAAGGGAGCGGTGCAGGACAGTGCCACGGATGGAGGAGTTCCAGGTACAAGGACAGTGTGTTTTGTGTCAGACCTGATGCTCTGCTGCTAAAAAAAATAATTAGTAATTTGGTTTTCAAAACCATTAACCATTAAAACATGTTGCATATATACAATTAAAACAAAATATATTTATGTTAAGACTATTCAGTAACTATATTTGGTGTAAAGTGTAAACCTAAAATAAATGTTTAAAACAGAAGACAAAGATGATATACAAAAAAAAAAAAAAAAAAACATTCATTCAAATGATATCCAAATTTGCTTTTCAAATAAATGTATTTTGCTTCAATTACCCGTTTAATTTTATATAAGGATATTCAGTATCTTGAATTGAATTCACTCACCCACTGAAAAATTTAAATTCTGTCATCATTTACTCACCCTCAAGTGTTCCAAACCTGTATGAATTTCTTTCTTCAGCTGAACACAAAAGAAGATATTTCGAAGAATGTCAGTGGCCAAAACAGTGATGGACCCCATTGACTTCCATAACGGAAGTCAACAGGGTCTGTCAACTCATTCTTCAAAATATCTTCTTTTGTGTTAATCAGAAGAAAGAAATTCATATAGGTTTGGAACAACTTAAGGGTGAGTAAATAATGACAGAATTTTTATTTTTTGGGGAACTATCCCTCAATTATTATTATTTTTTTTAATGTTGGTTTGTACAGTTTTAAGTGTAAACGACAATAAATAATACTATAATAATATAACTTTTTAAAAACATGTATGCAATTTTACATCTCAAATAAATTTAGGCCGCTTTACATAGCATTTTAATGCTATACTGGAATACAAGAAAAAAGTGATTAGACAAATTGTAAAAGAATATGCATGGCTTATGTACTAGAGGAAATGCGAAAGAGAGAAAGGAGGAATAGAGAAAAGAATGAGACAGTAGGAAGAATGTGGGATAAGTTTTTTTTTTTTTTTTTTTTTTTTTTTTTTACGGGGAGAGGATTAAAGAGATGCGTGATTCCCGTGACTGTGTCTCTGCTGTAGATGATAAGGGGGATCAGCATGGGGGTTCTCTGCACTCTAAAGCACCCCTCGTGCCCTCCCTCTAACAGAGGCCTATATAATACTCTCTCAAACGTATGAATGCCATACAAGCATGTCACATCTTGCATCAATATTTGTTTGACACACTGAAATGTTAATGATTCACTGGTTAGTGATCTCACTCCATTGTTCATGTTGTTCAACAGACCTTGACTGACAGAAAAATCTTTAAAAAAAACTGATTTGGAGGGAGTGAATTGTGCAATAATTGACTCAGTGGCTTTTAAAAATAAGATATGCTTTGTCAGCTTCATGCGGTTTGAATAAGCTGGGTTTGACAAAAATATTATTTAATATGCCATAAATACAATGCAAATGTTTTTAAATATAATTGTTATAAAATGTATACAGATTTTATAAATAATACATAAATCACACAGTAAATCATGTTTAAAGGTACATTGCGCAAGACTCTAAATTTTTTTTGCATAACTATGCCCCCTCTGGCAACAAGCATAACTGCAACCAGAGGTGTGCACACTTATGGACCACACGTACACGCACGCACGCTCACACGAGCTGTTCATAACCAAAGGCGCATCAGTCGCACAAATCTTTTGTTACAGTCATAATGTCTTCAGAGGTAATGCAGTTATAAATCTGCAAGTCATTTTAAAAACAAAAAGGAAAGGTATTTGAGTAAATTCACACACACATTTTGTGTGTGAGGGGAAAATGGGGGTAGTAGAAAACTTTCCATCTATCTCCATGTTGAACTGTTTTATATGCTTATTGTATCCACTTATGATTGTATTATTATGGAAGCACGTTCATGAACAATATAAGTTATTACTTTGTATAGGATCCCGTTTGAGCCTTAGAGAAGACCGGAGATCTCTCCATTTGTTGAAAGCCTTCCCGATGTTGACTCTCTTCTTATTGTGATGCCTGTCTGACTCCAATTTGGTCCTTTTGGTGGAACTAGACAAAAGTTTTATTTTCTTTGTCTTACGTGGAGTTTGCGAGCCGTTTTACAAGCCGGTCTCTTTGAATCCATCTTCTACTTTTGTCAAAAGTTGACTAAAGTTTTGTCGCTCGAGTTGTCTTCGTTGATACGGAGAATGGCGGCGAATACACAAACCTGCCAGACATAGCCAGGTGAACGCGCATGACGTCTTGCCCAGTTTCAAATACCGTCCCAAATTATTTATTTTACTGTAACTGTACAGGATTATAGAAGCAATCGCAGTGATCAGAGAAGGGCTCATTCAGCCCATCAGGCAATTGTTTAAGCATGTATATGGGTTAGAAAAACAGGTATTTTTAACATGAAATGTTGCGCAATGCACCTTAAAGAGTTCGATCAGGGGGGTCAAAAGTTTGGGGTCAGCAAGATTTTTAGGCTACATTCGTATACATTTATATTTCAAATAAATACTGTTCTTTTGAACTTTCTATTCATCATGTGAATCAGACTGGAGTAATGATGCTGAAAATTCAGCTTTGTCATCATACAAATAAATTACATTTGAAAATATATTGCAATAGGAAAGTTATTTTAAATTGTAATAATATTTCACAATATTACAGTTTTTACTGAGTAAATAAATAGGTAAAACTTTCGAATCAGTTTAAATTTGTTAAAAATGTGTTCATGCATTAACTAGCATGAGCTAATAAGCAATATCTTACACCATTTATTAAAATAGTTAGAATTATTAATGTTAAGATTAACATGAACAAAAATGAATAAATACTGTAAAAGTATTGTTCATTGTTATTTCAGTCTCATTGTTAATACGTAGGTATTAATACGTTATTTTCAAAGATAGAAAACATACTTTTTTGTACATTTGGATACATGCTGAAACGTAAAATGTGGACGTATCTGCAACATTTAAACGTAAAATTGTTACGATTTTACAGCTACAAAAACGTTAACAGTTTACGTATATTCCATATCATAAAAAATATCTGTATAATTTCCCATTTAACGTTACCATTTTATATATAGATAAATGTAACATCCATTAACCCTATTCCCAACCCTAAACATACCCATTTATACAGAATATAAAAAGGATAAAATGTAATGGATAGAGATGTGTAAGGACATGACAGTTTTATTAACAATATAGCATTAAAATATATTTTGAGCCATTAATCCTACTCCTAAGTTACCCCTAAACCTACCCATAACCATTCCTTAAAACTACGTAGACTAACTTTCAATTATGAAGAAAAACATAACAGACAGACAAGTAACGTTATAATCACAATAATGTATTTTTTGCGAAAATGTCAAAACCGGTACCAAAAAGTCGTTCACATGATGTGTTGCAGTTGCAGTCCTTTCTGACAGTATTATAATAGTTTTGTATGAGGTACAAAATATAAGTTAATAATCCATGAAAATGTTAATTCGGCTTCGGTTCGCTCTGTGAAGGCGCGTGCGCTTCTCCATTTCAAGTGTACTACACTGTCACCGTCTGAAACACGGCATGTCGCAATCTGTGATGAAGCGGGAAAGAGCCAATGAGCGTTTAAAATCACTGCCGTAAAACATGACATAGCGCTTCTTGAGGACGCAATTTTTAAATTTGAATTCATAACCATCGTGGGATTTGACGTATAACGGTCACTGCTGATAAATAGAGATGAAGATCACTGGATAAAAGTACTAGGTCCCACTTTATATTAAGTGGCTTTAAGTACCATGTACTTACATTGAAATTAATCATTTGATACAATGGACTTATTGTGTACATACATGTTTTTACGTTGTACTTATATTTTAAAAATACCAGCATGCAATTACAGCTGTAATTAATTTATGTAATTACATCTGTAATTACACAGCTGACCCATCCCTTACACTTAAACCCACCCTTAAACCTACCCATACCACCACACCTGTCCCTAACCTTACCCGTATCACTCCTCAATAGCAGCAAAAGTGATTTACTATACAACATGAGCACAATAAGTACATTGTACCTATTTTTAGATGTAAGTACATAGTACTTAAAGCCACTTAATATAAAGTGGGACCAAGTACTATATTAATAAACGCGACTGAAAACTTTATTGATAAGACAGTTGAACGCAATATAGTCAATACATTAATGCCACAATTTTAATATGCATAAATAGTAATACGTACAAATTTTTACGTCGGTAAATTTGTGCGTACTTAAATAAATTACGTTTTTGTTCAGTCAATACGTAAATGTTTTACGTTTTAGTGCTGTAAGTAAATACGTTGTTTCTGCGTGTATAAAACGTAAATAAATGTACGTATGTTAGAACTACTTTCCGTAAAATACACACGTATTCTCATGAGTTATGGTTATTTCGTGTTAACTAACGAATGTTAACAAATGAAACCTTACTGTAAATTGTTACCAAAATGTTACCAAACTTAAAGACCCCGAACTCCCGAATTTGTAGCTCATTTTTTCCTTGTTTTTTGGTGTGGTTTTATACCTGTAAATGGAAACGTCCTCAATGAGGTCATTGGTCTCTGTGTCTGACATGATGATTCCCTTGGGGGAGACAGTGAGGGTCACTTTCCGAAACTTCTTTGCACTGGCCCGAGCCTGCATGTGGTTGACAAGGATAAACAATTTGTGTGAACCCTGGTCAAACATCTTTGTCATAGTCAACTTTGAAATGTCACTCATAACTCACTGACCATGAACAATAACCAGAAAAGGTCAGCGAAATCTGTGTGGACTATTAAATCCAACTCCATGGGTACGAGAGCTAAAAAGAGATGACGTTTGATATATAAAATTCATCTTCTGCCTTGGCATAAAAACACGGGTACATCAATGCAGTGTGCTTGCAGAAAGAAAAAGGCCAACATGGCTGAGGACGAGGAGATATTATGGTTGAAATGCAGGAGAGAGGGGGGGATTGGGGGGGAGACTCGTCAAGGACAAAAGGAAATCAGGCAAAGCATATCTGGAGGGTCTTTCTCCTTTCCCAGGAGACAGTAAATACTGATTTAAAACACATGAAACTCATCTCAAGGATTCAGTCTTGACAATTTGGAGAGAAAGTTGTCCTGTTCTGATTCGCTTGTGCTGTCAAAGGAAGATAAATCTCTTTTTTTATTTGCTTTCTAGAGAACTATATTGTGTATACATTAATAGGAAACAGGCTGTACTGAAATGCTGACTCTTTTGTACAGTTCAACATTTTATCACCAAAAAGTAACTGCTATAAAGGTCTGTGTGAAGCCCTAAACTATTGATCACAAAAGCTTTGGGTTTCTGTTTTGATCTGTTAATCAGTTTAATACTAATGAGAAGCATTGATCAATTCTTTACAAAGTTCTTCTCGTGTTTTCAAGTAGCTCATTATTATTAATATAAAATAATAATATCTATCATACTGTATATTATTATGTGACAACATATAAATTTTATACCACTACAAATTGCCAAAGGCAAAAAAAGGATTTGAGTAAGATTTTGTGCCGACTTGGCTCATGATCATTCCTCACTATCCTCACGTCCCTTGACCCGCTTTTCCTCTGATGACTGACCGTGGTTACAATTCTCCTAATGGCAGCCGCTGCCATGTCTTCTCCTTTAGGTTGTCCGACCAGAGTCATGCCCAGATACTTCACGTTGAACACCATTCCTTCCAGGAGTGTTTCCTTGGTGTCCGTCCAGTTCTCTTGGAGCTCTAAAACACAAAATAAAACATTTTCCTTTAAGAGTGAAATTCCCCTTTAAGAAACAAGCTGAATGTTCAACGGTTCAAATATCAGAGGCTCAAAACAAACTGCCTGAAAGCTGAATGTGGATTTATTGATTAACACTGCAGGATATCACAGGAAAGATTCCTTTAAGCCATTACGGAATAATACAATTTTTTGAGGCAATAAACTTATTAATAATAAATATGTTTTTCATATAAAAATACGCCAATTGAACGTAGATGGTAGGTTTCACACCTTTCCATTAGGAGAAGTGGGGCTCATTCCCATTCAAGGAGAACTGTGCCACACACTGAGCTTTAAATAGCTTTCCGGTCCCATTTGAATCCAATACAAAGCCCTGTAGTGTAAAGCTGGATCGAAAGATATGCAGAGTGAACTTAGACATCCACTGCCCAGCTAGTGCAATTCTGAAGCAAAAATCTATTTAAAGCAAGCACTGAAGTGAAGGACCTTAACCAATTGTTAGCCATATCAGTGTGAATTATTGATTATTATGCTTTCAAAACGACAAAGATTCTTTATTATTTTATATAAATTTATAATGGCAGAAAAAACATCAGAACTGCATTGTATTAAAAATAGTATCTCCTTGATAATTTATATTTATCGTGACAGGTAAGCCAAAGTTTCAGACAGCAGTAAAATCTTCAAAAAGTTATTCTTATGACCTGCTCTAGCCCATTGGAAAACTACATTTAAATATATATATATATATATATATATATATATATATATATATTTTCTGTCGCTCTACATACGTCATCTGGTATTATTGAACCGATTGGCTATGAGCTACGTACGCGTTTGATAGACATTCGTAGCACCCAACAATACAGCTCTGGGCATTCGTAAATCACGCCTCAAATATGAGAAAATAAACATGTGGGTTTCCAGACCACGTCTCATTCTCAATGATACGTGGCCTGGCATTAGCCAGGCTACACCAAAAGATCATTTGAAGTCATTATTGTGTTAAATGAGCAAAATCATCAAATAGACTTGACAAAAAGTAGCTTCAGAAAAAAAGAAAGTTTTTTTTGATTCAACATAGAATTTATAAAACATAAAATGTTAGGCCTCAACAGCCATGATTTATTTTTTCAGAAGCTGCATCCGAATTGGTATAGCTATGCTACACATACAGATCAGTTGCTACTCAGTAACTGATTACTTATATGTTCCTAACTATGGAGGACAGAAACTCATTTAATCTGACAGTGTCTTGTCCTGTTCTGACAGCTCTGCTCGGAGCCATCTGGCTCTCCCAGCAGCACCAGCTGTTTGAGGCCAGGAAGACAACACCACCATCATGGCTTTCTCAACTGTAAATCAATTATTAACCTAAGAAGACACTAAATCTATCTCAGCACTCAATAGGCAGGAAAACTAACAGTCAATTCTCACTCAGCACTGCAGCCATCTCTAACTGACATTTTGTAGCCTAGATGAGCTGCAGGGCATGGAAACAACAGAAGTAGCCAAAATAAGTCAGAAAAGCTCTAAGGGTTACTCGCTGGCATGTATAATCTCCTTGAGCTGTTGCTGCACATTTGTCGTGCTGAAATCCTTGAAAGTGGGAATGCTGACACACACAGAACTTGGGCCGCAATAAAGAATCGCTCTAACTTGAGGGATGTACCATACGTTCACCAGGCTGCTGAATGAATAATTGATCCGTTTTTATGTTGATGCTCCAGGCCTTCACTCAGATTAGACTGAAGTAGGACATGTTTATGGTCATAAAACTTTGCTGAGGTTATGACAATGGAGTAAAGCAAATCATGCAAAAAAGGCCATAAGGTTGATGGTAATTGGATTCTCAGGTTTTGTCAAGAGCAGGTTGCTCTGTGAAATAAAAAGCAGGCAGTATTGTGTGTTTGGGATGAAAGTGGCATTTTTAACAGCACATAATGTGACGGCTTGTTGCATGTGTCTGCATGATAGACTGATCCGATTTGTGCAAACATTAAATGCGATTACCACAGATGCTGAGACTGTAACTGCAGTTGTGTCTGTGCTAGACAAAAGCTGCATGGCATTTCTCCAGACTGATCTTGCAGTGGTGTAAAGGTTTTTGTGATGCAATGCTTAAGCTTTTGATGTTTAAATCAAAAGAAGTCAACTTAACTATATTGTTTAGCATATTTTTTTTCTTCAGAAGCGCTTTGAACAGCTTGAACAGTGAAATAGATCCTCGCAGCAAACACAGAGCGTTCCACTTACCACTAAATGCCCGTTAACTATAAAGATAACTATAACAAAGACTAGATTATTATCCACATAATCACATGACGAATGTGAATCTAAACAAACTCTTCTTTATTAATCTACAAAGATGTACAAACAGCAGAAGAAAACTTACACTCAACCACATTTAATAAAAAAGATACCGAACGGACAATGAATTGAGGAAACTAAGGTTACGGGGAGACATAATGATTGACAAGTAATCAGGAACCAAGGGAAAAAACTAGGGAGACAAATACAACAAAACTAAATATAATCCTGACAGTTGCTTTAAATGCTGGAGCTTTTTAAAGGGGTCATGAACTGGCTTTTTAAATTTTTTACATTGTTGTCTGAGGTCAATTTATGACGTTTGCGTGGTTTTTTCATTAAAAAACTTCAAAATGAATAAGAAATATTTTCTACCCTAGTTTTGAGCCCAGCTCAAAAACGCTCGGTTTTTATGGACGTCTCGCATTGAAGACTTGGAAGTAAACTCGATTGGTTTGTCATCACGAAGTAGGCCTATGTTATTTGGCTATGTGTGTAATGCGCAAATCGGTGGGCGGGGCTAAACCGGCCGTGTTGAAGTAGGCGTTGATCTTCTTCTGCGGGGGTGGTGTTTTATCCTCTTTGACATCATAGTTCCCCACTTTGAAAAACGAGTTGTTTGCTGAGGCTGGTGTCAATAAAAGCTTTTATTGGACTAACAAGGACGTTTTCAGTTCTGAAACTTACAGGATATTCTTATAATATGATGACTTCATAGATGTCAAGGAAAATATGATTTCTCATTCTCAGTTCATCACCCCTTTAAAGCAGGATGAATTCGGATTGGCTGCCAATATTTTTTATCGTTCATCAGCTGAAAAAAAAAGTTCTGAAAGGGATCACATCGATATCGTTTCTCTGTGCCGTTATTGTTGCAGTGTGGACTCTGCAATTCCTTTTCCTTTAGATCGCCATCATTATAATTAAGTGTAAACTGTGAAAGTGTATGGTAAATGTATATCCTGTTTGGTTATTTCTTTGGGAACCAATTTCTAACATTCTTAGAACATTTTAGGGAGGTTTTTGAGAGTTAACCTTATAAGAAAAACTTTTACACAACGTCCTCTAATGGTTATTTTAAGGTTTTATTTGGATAAACAAACATACTCAAAATGTTTCAGGGGAGTTTTGGTGTACTAACCTAATACGAATTTAAACAGAACATTTTCTAATGGTTACATTTTTTTCATATTCATAAACTACATTCATAAAACAGTATTAATTCAACGTTAATGCAGAAATATTTCCTCAAGATAAAAACATACGTGCATGCCACGATTAGACAGGCCAGAATCATGAGCAGTTAACTTTCTTAAAGGTGACCATTTTCTTATTCATTAAGATCTAGTCCTTTCACTGACACATTTGGTAATTGAGCACATGGATGCCTTAAACCGTGCGAAGGAAAGCAAGGGAGATGGTCAGCCACAGAGCTGTATATACATGCTTAATAGTCTCATTTACATTCAAATGTCACACGAATACACAAGCATGTTGAAACCCAGTGAATATAATGACTGCATTTTCATGATAAGATGATTAATTAAAACGAGAGCTCACACATGGACACACGGGCAGGACAGTTGCCCGTAGCAACGAGTAAATCAAATGCCTAGATTCCTGGAATGATTCTGCACTAGCATTTTATGCATCACGTACAAATTGTGTTGAATATAAAATACCTCAGACTTGAATAGTTTTCCCTAAGAAAAAAGGTTTTAAATATGGGCTGACAGCAGCCGAATAAAGGCCTCTGATCTCTGCTCTACAATTGAGAGTCTAAATAATGAGTGTCATAAGAATCTAGGACATTACCTTGACAGTATATAGGACATGATACGGCAGAGAGGAATTGGGGAATAGAAACGATTATATCAGCCGTAAGTGGAATACACACTTTAAAATAAAAGTGCAACAAAAAACAACTGGCCCTGTGATTACAACGCATCTTTATATTCCATTAAGTTATTGGTAGTGTCTTCATCCCATATCAAACATTGATTCTGTTGGGAACCTTTCTTCTGAGAGAGATTGTCGAGGAGACATAACAGGAAGGTCTCAAAATCTCAATGTTTAATTTTGCGTTCTCAGCCCCTGAGCTGTTTGGGCTGTGTTGAACATGCCATATCTTCATCAAATTTCTCTGCTCAGGACAACCACAGTGGTGTCAGACCAAGCTCCGTTGCTTAGCAACAAAAGTTAATGGGCATAAGACAGTCCTACAATGTGGGATGTTAGCATATAAAGATCAGCAGTAGCAATAGCACACACCAAACTCTGAGAAACCATTATAATGAAAATCATCAAATTATGGATATAATAAAATTATTATTTTTAAATACTTTTTTAACTGCATAATTAAACAACAGATTTCTTCGATACATACACGCTGCTGTGAGTAAGTAAGACATGCTGCTGCTGCTGTACAATATAGCATCCATGAATTACCCGTAGTATATCTAAACAGATGGAGCTTGGGAAGAGGAATCAAATGATTTTTTTTTTTTTTATCCACTGGAATACTCTCGAGCGTCACTTCACAGTGTCATCAGCAGCGCCCAAAGGATCTGCCCATATGTTGTTAAACTTTGGTTATTTAAGAAATTCATAATAAATAATAATAAAGTAAGATACAAAAGTAAAGTACAAACCGGTGTGAAGGGGTGAATGATGTGATTGCGTTAAG